CAGGATAGGCTCTGGCTAGTGACGTCCTCAATCTTCTGTTGACAATTGCTGTAATATTTTCACCTTTAAAATCAAGTTGAATGAAGATGGGCTTTTTCCCTACTGTGATTTGTTTGACAATTGCACCTTCACGTCTTCCGTACTTGTTGATGAACCTATGAGGGTAACCGTTGCTTTTCAACATATTTTCGAGAAACATTAATTCTTCCGCTAATTTCCCTGTAAAGCATATTCTCGTAGCTCTATAGTATAGAGTCTTGACTAGTTCTCGTTTAAATCTATTTGGGCAAAAGCTATTAAAGTGTAGTCATTGTCCTTTTCATGTAGGCTTTCTGTAAATTGACCTCTGGAGACTACCATCTTCTAGGCGTTGCATAGCAATGTCGAGGAAATGGAACTTTCCATCATTTTCATGTTCCATATTAAATTCAATATTTGCATGTGCGTCGTTGAATAATCCGAGTAGGTAGGTAGCATGACTTTCATCGTTGCTGAAGTAACTAAGAGTGAACAGAAATCAACATTTACATTTAATAAAATATAATACTGTTGTTATTACTTTGTTTAAATTTATCAAGGGGAACTCAGGTATGAAGTTTCTTGTGATGCGTTATTCATTGGACTGAAGTTTCAACGTAGAAATATTTACAAAAGTAAAGCAGTTCATGTTGCCAGGCTTGATGAAAATACACAATAAGTCAGAGAAAAGAAATGCAAAGAAACTATAGTAAACGGAAACTTACGGCGGAAATAATCTATTACGTGAAGGATTTAATTGGTCTAGGAGACTGTAAAGTACGATTGTGAGTCATGTCATCAACATCTCCTAGCCACTGGATTTTTAGAGTTTCGAGGACCCCAACAAGTCAGGTAGACCTCCAACCTCCTTATGTGACAGCATCAACTACTGAGTGATGTTTCAAGCACAAGTTATTTCTGGCAATCATAACAACGTATTCATTCATACAACTCCCTAATTTAATTTAGAGTTTTACTTCCTCCCAGCATTTTGGCAACATTCCTTTTACACTTGTCTTAGCTGTTGATTTGATCGATAGAAACATAATGGTTAACATCTTGTCCCACATAACCATAACATTTTTGCATATTTCTACCCTGGCATACACTATTAAACAAATTTAATATGACATAATTCAGTCAGTTTTAATGATTTGTTAAGTATGGCAGTTCATAACTAACGATTCGCTATTATCCATTATTTCTAACCATTCTTTTATAAAAGATATTCACCTTTACATCGACTATTCACTATGATGTAGCTAGTGTCATATGTCTATTTCTTAGTCTTTGTGTTGACTAGATTCTATCTGTCAAGTTTACCATGTGGTAGCGAAGCGGTGTGCTGTGAATTGATGTTAGAAGGTAGAAAGCCATAACTGCAACACTGGGTGACGAGGGTTCGAATCTCTAAATGGACATTAGTTCCTTTGAGGGTACAGATATTCCTTACTGAAGAGTGCAAATGATCACAAGGTCTAGGTGCACGGTTGCCCGACGATTACCTCCAATCTCCTAACATGCTCACCTTTGTCATTAAGAATTTTGTGGTAATTAAGGTATTGGCGTATATTAAGTTATATCGTCAAACAACTGTTTCACAAGTGGGAATTCTAATCACGAGAGTACTAGAGGCTATAAGGCTGTGGATGTACACCACCGGAAAAATCAATAAGCGGTTAAATCAGGTATACAACTTCTAATTCAAATGTTTTACAAATCTTTTACGTTTAGAAAAATATGAGCGCCTTCTATTAAAGAAAGTACTAGCTAACTTTTATCACACTTAGCCAATTTCTTTCAATCCCTAAACAAGAAGACTGATGCAAACAGTCAATACAGATGGGTTTGCCAAAATCATTTGGATTATCAACTGTTTAACAGAAGGATTCTTTAAAATGTCAACATATAGGTGAAAGTAAACAATTTACTGCAAAGGAACTGATATAATAAGTCATGAAGCTGCAACATTTTCCTGAACATAAGAAGCTTGAAGCATTGGAAGAGTCATGTTCAGATAAAAATAAGTTTTGGAAAAGAACAAAGGACGTAATGATGTAATAAAACTTTTCATATACTTCGTTATAAACTGAAACTATCAGAGAAATGTGTAACTTACAAGTGTATCTTTTTGTATACATAAAATTGCCACTCTCTTTGATAAAGCATAACAGACTTGAGTTCTTCTGCTTGTTGGTTTGCTATGAACAATTTGTAAATGTTTATGTATATTCTGTATCGGTTAGGTAATTCATATGCACATTGATCAATCCATTTGAACTGTTAAGTCTTAGATTTTCCGAAATTTGGTGAAAAATGCTGAAATGATATAACCTCAGTATGATTTTGGTGCTTATTGTTAGTCTACATGGTACACACAGAAATAGCAAGAAATTGAAATATGTCCACCCTTGGCTACTGTGATGAACAGTTTTTTGGGTATAAAACAGATTACAATAGTAGCAAAGTTCTCTTAAGTTTGTACCAGTTCCTAATAACAATTTCTTCACCTTTCAAGTCAGGTTGTAGACGGACGAACTGTTTCTCTGTTATTTTGCACTGGACCATTTTTGTGCTAGTGTAACAACAGAAGACAAGGGCCAGGCAACAGATCGTTTATTAAGGAAATCAAAGCATATTTATATATTTTCATGTACATTATATAGTTAGTTAGCAAAATATTAGTAATTACTGTCTAATTGATAGTAACAGCTTCACACATAGTACTTCTACAGTGTATCAGTGAACGTTTATGAATAGCTATTTTCATAGGTATATTTCTCAACAACACACCACCCTTACCATTACTTCCAGTAGAATATTCATAAATAAAGATGCCACATCAAATAGAACAGTGTGCAATTCTGGAAACTATTTGATTCGTAAGCAGTTGAGTAGCGTTCGCTAACTAATAAAAAACAGTAGTTCATGTTATCGTGTTACTCTATTAAAATATAAAGCTATAAACGAGCACTAGTCAAGACTCCGTACTCTGGAGCGAGGAGAATATGCTCTGCAGAGAAATTAGTGGGAGAATTTACGATTCTCGAAAAGGTGTTGAAAAACAACGGTTTTCCTCAAAGATTCATTAACAAATATGGAAGATGTGAAGGTTCAAATATCAAACAAATCACAGTTGAAAAAAAGCCTGTCTTCATTCAACTAGATTTTAAAGGTGAAAACATTGCAGCAATGGTCAACAGAAGATTGAGTACGTCACTAGTCAGAGCCTATCCTGCAGCTAAGTTGGTTCCCGTCTATCGGATAACATGCTCTTTGGTGCAATCAAAAGTCGACAGATATCCTTCTCATATCAACTCCAACTGTGTATACAAATTTACATGTATCTGAGGTAGCAGTTACATTGTGAGAACAGAAATAAGGGCATACCTCCGATTTTCTGAACATGTACCAAAAAGCCTACACCTAAAGGGAACAAACTCTTATAACAGTGCTATTACCAGACATCTCCTTGATACGGGTCATGAGGTGGAAATCGCGAAATCCTTTAAAATTATCAATAGAAAAGGAGCTCGATTCTCCTCAAGTTTGCCGAAGCAATCTCTATCAAACGCTTGAAACCAGATTTATGTGTTCAGAAAGAAGCAGTTATTAGTCTTTCCTTGCTATGGTAACTGGATATCTATATTCTTTCTTTCATTTGATTACGTAATCTTTGACTTTAACCTCACCCCTTTGACATAGTGTAATTTTGCTTGTCTCTTGTTTCTATGATTTCAGTTGAATTCAGTACATTGTTACCTAATTTATTAGTCACTTAGCGTCTTACGCATCTCTCGTCTTTATTACGTAACTCCTTTACCATTGTTTGCATACATTTATTTTGTTTAAACTTGAACTCCATGTGTAAAAACTATATAAGCGCAATTTTCTGAGCACTGTTCACTAACTGCGGAACTTTCTGTCAACTGACATCATGTAAAATTTGCAAGTATGTTAAAACTTTTCTGTACATAAACCTAATAATTTATTTAGGCTGTAAGCAGCCGAGAAGCCAACGGAATAAATGATGGTACCATATTATTCCGCACAAACCACTGTTGTTCTTGCTTTATTCAAATATAGAAAGGTTTTGGATTTGGAGTTTAGTAGAAATCTAAATTAAGCAATACACTTTAAGTCTCCTACGAAACCTTTAAGAGATAAATTATAGTCAGGAATTTTCATTTCTAGATCACAAAGTGATGTTTCTTGTTCACATAAGAGTAGGCCCTTATAAATGTCCTGGTACGGTCGACGGTGGGTAGACTTCTTCTCTCCTCTCGAAATGTTTTCACCTGGCCATGACCTCATAGCCTCCGCCAAGTAATTCTTATTCACTGTCTTCACGTGTCAAGTTTGTTCCTCACAAAAGTAAAAAGGCGAATTCGAACATCTGACGCCTACAACCAGACCTGTGGACATACAGGTCTACCTAACGGAGCTATAAAATCCTGATTCCAAACCTATGGTGTACATGGATTCCAGATTCCGAAAGGATTAAATGACGTATGAACGTACTTTGGTCACTGGTAGCCATTGGGAACGCAATTCCTTATGCTGCTCCCTTGCTTTGCGAATCAGACATTGAATCAAAGGCTTCGGGGTGGTCCTTCACTACAACCATCTGTTTTGGTCCGGGCGTCCCAGTAGTAGCCCAGACCTCGAGAAAACTATGAGATTTTGTCAGGCACATCTCTTGGTGCCCATAATGTAAAAAGTCTGTATTATTTTTGTAATAAACAAATAAACATAAGAGTAGAAATGATAATGATAATATAAATTGTAATAAAAAGGAATGTTTTTAAGTAGCAAAAATAAAAACAGTCCATCCATATCCAATCATCATCATCATTATTATTTCGAATGACTTTTATGTGAACCAATCACGTGTAGACCAGTTAATTTAATTTCACACTGAACTCATTATGAACAATAATTATGAAATATTTTTTTATTGGTTCACTGATGAAAACAGAAACAGAATAAATATACTGTCTGGATCGTTCACATGTACATATTGAAATGTGAATAGAATGCGATAATTCTTTTTTTTTTAAAAAAAACAACATTATTGAACAATGTCTAATAGTACATTTATTGATTTTGGACAACCAATGACAGGGATCTTAGCAATTTATTCAATATCTATCATTATATTTGGATCATTAGGAAATATTTTAATCTTATTAACAATATCGCATAAAAATTATCTGTTACAGTATGAAAATGGTCGATCTGTTGACAGTTCTTTTAATAGTAGTATATACATAATTAAAGGAATAATTTGTATAAAATCTTGTAAACGATCTGAATTATTATTGATTCTACTTACATACACTGATTTTATTTGTTTATGGATACTAGTACTACGTTATGCCATACATCTGACTACAGATCAGGATATACGAACAATCACTTTGGCAGGATGTCTACTGCATACGTATTTATCAATGGTTGGCAGTAATTTAAGTGTTGGTCTGTTGGGCATCTTTTCTGTTCAACGGGCTATCGCTATAATCTGGCCAATGATCTCGAAGAAATGGTTAACACGAAAATGCTTGTATATATGTATGATAATAACTTTATTGATTATTCTTATTAAACACCTGCCTGTGTTTATTTTATTAAATATAAGACAACTCGCACCAAGTTTATATGTATGCGATATAAACTACAAGGATGATGATAATAAAACTAAATTTAAATACTACTATTATATAGAATTCAGTACGCATATAGTACTCGGTTATGTTATTCTAATTATATCAAATATCAGCCTGTTTATTTGTTTAAATATTCAAAAACGCAACAAAGTAGCTAATATTACAACAGGAAATGATACAACAACAACACAAAAGTTGAATAGAATTCGTTATATGAATTCTGCACGTTTAGTATTGGCATTAAGTTTCTATCAAGTGATAAGCTCGATACCATTTTTTGTATTAGTTGAATTACCCAGCGTGTCTGGTAGTCAAATAATACCAGATAAAAAAAGATGGTTAGCTTATTATATCACAACTTTATTGTTGTTTACAAATAATTCATATAATTTTTTTATAACTGTATATGTTAGCCAGCATTTTCGTAAATCAACAAAACTTATGCTTTTACATACATGGAATAGTTTAAAGTGTAAAAAGTGAATACCCAGTATATATTGTGTGTAAATAATTCTTACTTTCATGTTATGTTGTTCACCTGAATCCACTTGTATGCCTATGATTTGATGGTGTTACGAGGAGGCGGTTACAACTAGAATCAACATTATCAGCAGTCATTGGCTGATGAGGTGTTTGATTTATATTGTTGCGTGGATGTGATAATGTTATTGGATAATTATTTCATTATGGAGAAAATTTATTTTGATAAAGTTACACAGTGTTATAGAGTAATATTTACTGATGACAATGTTTTGAGCACAATTTATTGCTTATAATCATATCAGGCTATTGGATAATCTTTTACTTGAACCTTATGCAATCAGATGTCCTACCTTATATAATCAATCACATTATTTTGTTTAATCAGTTACTTAGCGTAATTTTATGTGTTGGAAGTGTATATATGTGATGTATTTTTGTCTGATAAAGTTGCCTACGCCGAATAGTCTTTGTCTTTTGATATTTTTCATGACTCAGTGAAGCGGAAGGTATTTCAAAGGTGGGGGGAAGTCGTATTCTGAATTCAGTAGAGTTCCCTGTTGCATTTCAGTATCCTTATATTCAAGTATGAATCTATTCAGATAGCCGCCTACTGACACTGAAATGGTAGTGAAAATTATAGCAACAAGATTTAAGCAACACAGTGAAAAAATACTATGTAAAAACTGGTATGTGTATTCTTAAATAGTTTAAAACAAGCAATAAAGGTTAATAAAGCAGGATTTAATGAATTCATCAAATTTCGGTAGAACTCGTCAGCTGAATACTCTACATACACGGATATATATACTTTTGAAATTACATTGGGAGATACAGGGCTGATAAGTAAATAAACTACATTGAATTAGTCATGCAGAAAGACAGGTGCGAATGTTTTCCAGGTCATGTTCAAATAGATAAGAGGAGAGAGAGTATGGGAGATCAAAATTAAGATAAATTGCATTACGCTTCAACTACATCACTTAGATGAACAATTAGTCATTAGAGAATATAACAAGGATTGCAAACAGAGTAATATCAATAGTAATAGTTATAATAACAATAATAATAATAATAGTGTTGGAGTGAGTTAAGATAATCCTACTGATAAAGGATAGTTTTAAATGAATCAAGAATCATAATAATGACGATAATAATAAGAGGTAGAATAATAAGTAAAACGTATTACCATGGTAGATTCAGAGTCACGACCATCTCCTTTTGTACACAGAGATCTGGTTTATAAACTCGAATTGCACAAGCCTCTGCAATTGCAAGCATCTTCTTGTTTCTGTCTGCTGACAATAGTGAATGACTTGACCGCGTCGATATCATGTCCGTAATCCACAAGATGCTTTGTTATTGAGGATTTTGGCACTTTGCACTCAGCTATTTTCACCCATTTTGGCAAATGCTCTATCATGCGAGTAGACAATCTCCCAATGTAATTTCAAAAGTATATATATCCGTGTATGTAGAGTATTCAGCTGACGAGTTCTACCGAAATTTGATGAATTCATTAAATCCTGCTTTATTAACCTTTATTGCTTGTTTTAAATTCGTATCGGGGAATTAAATGGTTTAACCTAATTTATTCAGCATTAAAACATTCGTATTAACAGGCGAGGTAGATAGGAGTAAATTTAACGAGAAACAAGTAAATGTAGCCACTTAAGATTGCACATCACACACGTAGGTTCAAGACCTTATGTTTTTACAGCACTTGGAGTCATACTTAGCCTATAATCGACAGTTTTAAATGTAGAATATATCTGGGGAGTTTAACTATACGGCAACAGTAATGAAGTCATTCCAAACGGCAAGGGAAATCAATAAAATAGCAGTTAATAATCTGATGGTAAGGAGGACAAAGTGATGTCCAGTTGCAGAGTCAAATACGGTTGGAAATATCGTCATGAAGTATCTGATGAATTAAGGAGTTATGAGTAGACAAGTATTAAGACTTATCAGAGAAACAGGTGGTAAAAGGCAAATGATAGGTGAAGCAATCTCCGAGAAAAATGGCACCCTAGTTAGCTCTCAGAACAGATGACTTGAACGTTGGGAAGAACACTTTGAGTAGCAGTTTAACTGGCCTGCAGCCATTCCCAAACTACTAAGCATCCATACCTCCCCGAATGGGAAATAAACAACAGTCCTTTGTCCTTAACTGAGGTTACAAAAGCTGTCACTAGTCTGAAATGAAGCAGAGCAGCAGGACCCGATGGAAAGACTCCAGAGGTATTTAAAGATGATGGAGACAGTTTACTGTCTGTGTTAACTAAGGTATTAGGCAGTGTCTGGGAATCAGAGGAAGTCCCGTCATGTTGGTGTAAGTCATTGATTGTCCTGATATACAAGAAGGGAGACAGGTCTTCCTGTGATAATCACAGGGGGATTAGCTTGACTTATATGGTATCTGAAGTTCTAGGCTCAATAATAATTAGTAGACTAAACGGCACTGGAGAAGAACAAACACAAGAGAACCAGGCAGGCTTTAAACCAGGAGGAGGGTGTGTTGTCATATCTTCACCCTTCGATAGATTCTGGAACATAGGCATACTTACCGGCGTTCAACAATTGCCATATTACTTTACCTGAGAATGGCATTCGACTCTGGCAGGTACTATGGCGATGTTTGGCTGTGAAGTGAATGCCGAAGAAATAAATCTCACTGATCAAGGCAGTCTACTCGATCTCATGCAGCCAAGTGAGAGTTTACGGCGAGTTATCACCTGAAGTGGTGACAACCACTGGTGTCCGTCACGGATGCCCACTATCCCCATTTCTGTTTAATTTCATCATAGATGTACGCACTAATGGAATCAGCCCGCACTGACTTCAATGGCTCACAGACTGACTTGTTACCGTCAGGTATTAATCTAGTTGACTTAGAATATGGAGATGATATAGCAGTCCTCCTAGGTGAAGACGCCGACAGAATTCAGAGTCTTCTGAGCACATTGAGGAGCAGTAATCTTTGAATTTTTAACGTGCGATTTGCTCCTGTTAAATCTTGGTTGATGCTGTTGGACTGGACTACATTGACTCCTAGCTAAGAGGTAGGCAGGAGGGAATCGGTGGAGCGCGCTGACCACTTCACTTATTTGAGAAGTTGCATCAGCCAATATCAACAGGTTGCTCACTGACGAAATCTCAGCTCGGATACAGAAGGCCCAGTTCGTATATGCCAGTTTACGCCGTCTCTGGCGTAAACGTGATATCCAGCTGGCTGTCGACCAAAGGGCGTGTGTACTGCTCAACAGTCAACTCCGTCCTCCTTTATGGCTTTGAGCGAGACCTGGCCACTGAGAGTGGAAAACATGAAAAGGCCGGTTAGCCGTCTTTGATCATGGGTGTCTGCGTTCTATCTCCGATGTTAAGTAGTATAATAGGGTGAGTAATACTGAGTTAGTTAGGCTTCGGTCGAGTGCTGGATAAGTAAGGAGGGGAAATCAATCGACTAGGTCGTGAAGTCCCACTGACTGAGGAGATGGTTAGGACATGTGTTACGCATGCCTGTCTAGTCATTATCTTCCTCAGAAACCATTGAAAGTAATCTTAGATTGTTATCAGAATCCGACTGAAATGACATCAATGACGGCTGAAAATAAAAAATTCAAATAGTGACACAAGCTGATGTATTTATGTTTCATCGATATAACTCAAGTGTGAAAAGTAAAACATAGTGTTCAGCCAGTGGTAGCTGTCCGACTGACAGATAAAGTGTTTTCAGCACTGGTTAAAAAGAGAAACCCAGCTGTTCATTGATGATTTTACTCGTTGGTGTTTATTTGCCCCAATAGATCCTAATGTGAAAAACCAAAAACATCTGAAAGTGAAGTCAATGCACCTTGGAATCAACAGAAAATGGGATACATGATCGAAGAGTGACAAGGTAGACTAAATGTATACTGGAAGAAGTAAGCATTTTGACCTCATCTACCATACAGTGTTCCACTATTTAGGATATTAATACCTCGATTACATTAACATTGGAATTTCCTTATCTCAATATCCCAGGAAACGGATGTAGGCAAATGTTTAGGTCTATTTCATGATGGAAAGATGTGAAACTGGCAACGAATTCGCATCCTGTTGAATACACTTTTCGGTTGAATAATAACACAGACTCGAGGTAGCTACTCCTCAGTAGTCTATGCATGGCTTTTAAATTTTCATAGATTTAAGTTCGCATTAATCTTGAGGTAAATAATTTAAATAAATACCTGTAATCGTTTGTATAAACAGTCATATTTATTAGGATTTTGTTGTCAAATCATTGGGGCATTTGAGACGGATTTAAGGAAGAGATTATGAGTGTAAGCGGTATTATGTATAATGAACCAACAGGTGATGCTCACACCGTACGTAGCTGATCGCTGTCGAAGAGAAAATGACGGGTTTATTGTTCAGTACGACGTCGTAAACGACAAGTGCACTTTCAGACAAAAGCTTAAAAATCTACCAATGAAAGTTTGATCGGAAACGACGTGAATGGATGATATTTTGGTAATGCATACCTTCTCAACTTAATGTACATTGTACATCATCTTTTCGCATTAGATCTGTTGACAAATATACAAATCAATGGAAGTTATCATATCTCTACACAGGAGCATAGGAGTGTTATTCCAAACAGATAATTCCTTATAATTTTCCCAGTGTATTAACTCGTAGGTTGAAATAAGAATTGCCCTACTCAGTAAATTTTACAAATTTATTATTAATAAGGATATAAAGAAGAGAAACCCGAAATATATAGCGGTGAATGTAATATGTGAATAGCTTTCCATATGCGGTGAATTTTGGTGATGATATACTCCAACAACTGAGGAAGACAGCTATACTGAGTGTATAGCCTGTCCTTTTCAGAGTTAACTTGAGCTCACAAAGACAAGTAATGGTGCATCACAGCTTTCTGAAGGTTGTTCACATTGTGTTTTTATATGAAACGAGCCAACTTAAGTAAGCAAATAGTTTGAGCATGGTTTCTTTTCAAGTTTCGTTTATTTTTGTTAAGTATGTCAAACAGGTGTGGGAAAGGTCGTTGCGTAATGTTTGTGCTATGCCAGGAACAGCGATTACTAGATATGACAACTGTACTGATGGAATAAGACCATTTGTAATGGACAGATTAGCTGCAAAAATTCCTGCAGTAACATTGATTTTTCCTTCAATTAGAATAATGCTTCGCTTTGTTTCAGCAGGGTAAGCAACGTGCCACTTAACCAGCTTGTTAATATTCTGGTCAACAGCCACATGGACTCATGTGAAAAATGGGCCAAATCCATTTTATCTAACTCACACCACCCTCTTCACTCACAACTCTCCCCTTGTATCTCATCAGGCAAAACCAGAAGCCTATATAGGAAACTATATGCTCGCACCAGCAAGT